CGAAAATTAAGTTTCTACAATATATTTAGTAGTAGCTTGTCAGAAGATGTTGTGTGTATGTTATGAAGATATCTATACATCTTCCTTGCATCGCTCCAGGATCATGATATTGTCTCAAACCACATTGTTTGTCCTGGTGTTTTGATGCATGCAAATGTGTTTGGTGGTAATGGAACCCGGTGATTATTGTCATCTGCTTCCTCTTACTGTGCCTTCCATATTCCTCCATGGCAGGTCTTACGGAGCTTTCTGATAATCAGGTGTCTTTGGACCTAGAGAGGAGCAAGTCACCCACCTCAGGTAACCATACCCACTCATGACCGCACACATCGCTGATAGCCTCACCACCTCTGCTAATCACGTGTACTTCTATACTTCTATTTTTGATAGCCACACCCATGATTGGTCACACCTACTTAATATAGCCACACCCTCTCACGATCAGAAATAGCCATATCACCTTTGATCACACCTATTCCTAGTTCTGGTAACCATACCCATTGTTTGGCCACATCTACCCCAATACAACCACACCCATCTCTAATAGCCACTCCCCACAGGAAACAATGATGGGGGAGTGTTTGAGAAACCTGTTTGATAACAGTCATTATTTTTGAAATTCCACTACTATCTGTGCAAATATCACACATTACAGCTTTAATGACAAAAACGTTAAAATATTAACACATTAAAATAATACAAATCCTTCAAACCTTCATCCTGCAGTTTTTCTCTGTTTCTTTTCTGTCCTCTTTTTTTAAGTTTCCCCACAGCACAGGTCTTCAGTCCCTGGAGGCTCTTTTCTCCACTCTCTTACCTCCAATGTCTTTGCTTCTTCTTTGTCTTAAAGCCATCATAACCTGTGTAGAATTTTTATGAGGATATGATAATGTTTACAGATTTTTACTCAGTGTTTGCATCGCCTCAGTGGGATGAACATGATGACAACAACAGTGCTTGTCCTTGAGGATCTAAATAGAGCTCTTAATTTAGAAGAAGTATTTCAGTAAAGCTTTGATTTCTCAGGGGAAGAAATTTTACATTGTCTTTTTTAAGCTATTGTTGTTTGAAATATCAGAGGCACATTTAGTGCAGTGTCTCAAGAATACAAAATTTGCTGTCTGTTTTTCTCTCTCTCACTTCACTCTCATGTCTCAGTGCAGTTGAAGCTTCTGCTTGTTTTCCTAGTACCCAGCTCAGCAGGCAGCCTGAGAGATGGAAGTCGCTTGGGAAGGCGAGCTGAGGGCTGTAGCCTGACATCAGTAGTTTGAGAGATAGAGAGGAGGAAAACTTCCAAAATGTGGCTGTGTATCAAGCGTATTCACCTAAAAATGAAAATGAGCAAATCTGTATAATTTTTTTCTTCTGTGAAAGACAGAAAAGAAGACATTTTGAAGAACGCCCATTTTCATACAACAATGTCAGAACTGTCAATTTTGGGTGAACTGTTCTTCTCAAGCCTGTAGTGAAGCATAGGAGTCACATGAGTGTGATTTTCTCTAGAATGTTCTGTGGTAAAGAACTGGCTGTCAGAACATCCTTTGTGTGTTTTCTTCTGTGGGATTTGTTAAGCTGGCTTCAGGCAGCTGAGTAATTCAGATGTGTTTTTGTGGAAGCAGCTATTATGACAGGAGTCAGGAAATGGCCTTCAACGATTGGCTTGGGAATTTAGCCAAAAATTAGACTGAGATTCTGGGTATCAGCCACTGAAGCATAAAAAGAGGGTCTGAGGGACTAGTGGAGAAAATATAAATAATGATGAGGAAGGAGAGTATGATGAAGAAAGCATTATTTGTGTGTGTGTGTGTGTGTCTATATGAGTATTTCATTGCACTCATGTTTGGTGTTTGGTAAATGTGTCTGTGTGTTTCTTCAAATATGGGCACTGTTGGCCCTGTAGACTTTTAGAAAATAAACAATAGTTGGTAGTATAACAATGTCCAACAGTTGACATATTATATATATGCATCACTGTAAAACTACATAATTTACATACACATTTTGTCCCCCCCCCACTACATCTCAAATGATGTACAGTATTGTATTTAATAGCATTCTGCCTTGATGGTAGGACATTTTAAATGTTTTTGGAGTAAAATGGCATAATCACAGCTGATTGGAAATTACACACAATAATGTAAATATTAAATATTTTATGTATCATATACTAATTTAGAATAATAAATATTTTGCTCATAAGTGATATTTTTCATGATTTTTATTTCCTTCACACATTGTGTGACACTGTTGTGTCAGTTCAATAAACAAGCACACTAACTTTTCAAATAAATGAATGAATGTTTTTTGGGGAAAAGAAAACGCTCTTAATTTTACACAAATTCACACAATATATTGAATGAATTATTATTTAACTTTGTGTAGATCATAGTTTGTAAAATATAATAATTCATATTTTATGGTATAGACCAATAAATTAATGATTTATTTATTTAAATCACTGGACATGCTTCGTTGTTGAAGAAGCATGATTTTAAACCTGATATTTGAAAGTGAAAGTCTGGGAAAACAGGCAGGGTTCAGGAATCCAAGTCCTCTGTTAACTTTTTGTCTTACCACAGGTGAAAGGATGTCATTTGCATATCACTCTGTTTGTTGTGCTACATTCACAGGAAAAATTTTGAACCTTGAGATGATGATGATTGGCTGCGTCAAATAAATGTTTGATGAGACTGTTGTTATTTGACCTTTTTTATTTGTTATTATTTTTATCTCAGCTTTTAGATGTGTGCTTTTGAAAGTAGCATTACGCCAGAATAGATGAATAATGAATGGACTCAAGGTTGTGTGGTTTCTGGTGCTGTTTTCTTGCGTTTGCTCAGGGGCACAAACTACTTCCTGTGCTAACATCACCTCAATTGACACTTCAATTACACTGCTTTAGCTGCTAATGTATTTACTTTATCTGAAAAAGGTTTATATGCATCACTGTAAAACTACATAATTTACATACACATTTTGTCCCCCCCCCCACTACATCTCAAATGATGTACAGTATTGTATTTAATAGCATTCTGCCTTGATGGTAGGACATTTTAAATGTTTTTGGAGTAAAATGGCATAATCACAGCTGATTGGAAATTACACACAATAATGTAAATATTAAATATTTTATGTATCATATACTAATTTAGAATAATAAATATTTTGCTCATAAGTGATATTTTTCATGATTTTTATTTCCTTCACACATTGTGTGACACTGTTGTGTCAGTTCAATAAACAAGCACACTAACTTTTCAAATAAATGAATGAATGTTTTTTGGGGAAAAGAAAACGCTCTTAATTTTACACAAATTCACACAATATATTGAATGAATTATTATTTAACTTTGTGTAGATCATAGTTTGTAAAATATAATAATTCATATTTTATGGTATAGACCAATAAATTAATGATTTATTTATTTAAATCACTGGACATGCTTCGTTGTTGAAGAAGCATGATTTTAAACCTGATATTTGAAAGTGAAAGTCTGGGAAAACAGGCAGGGTTCAGGAATCCAAGTCCTCTGTTAACTTTTTGTCTTACCACAGGTGAAAGGATGTCATTTGCATATCACTCTGTTTGTTGTGCTACATTCACAGGAAAAATTTTGAACCTTGAGATGATGATGATTGGCTGCGTCAAATAAATGTTTGATGAGACTGTTGTTATTTGACCTTTTTTATTTGTTATTATTTTTATCTCAGCTTTTAGATGTGTGCTTTTGAAAGTAGCATTACGCCAGAATAGATGAATAATGAATGGACTCAAGGTTGTGTGGTTTCTGGTGCTGTTTTCTTGCGTTTGCTCAGGGGCACAAACTACTTCCTGTGCTAACATCACCTCAATTGACACTTCAATTACACTGCTTTAGCTGCTAATGTATTTACTTTATCTGAAAAAGGTTGATTTTTACATCATACAATTTTTTTTTCTCTAAACTACTGTATATCTCCTCTTTCGCTCATCTTATTTCTTGGCACTTATTCATATTATCTCTGACCTCGGTCTCCCCTGCTCTCCATCAAGTCCAGTAATTGGGCTGCACTCTCTCTGTCTAGTCGACTAGTTGTTGTTGTTGTTTGTTGTTTATGCGGGTGTTGTTTTTGTCACCAGGGTTGAGGTGGGTTGCTGAGACCCTGTTGATTGTGGCACATTGCCAGGTGGTTAATAAGCTGAAATGTCAGCCATCGACTGTGACCAGTAAAGATATTTTTAGGAAAAGATTATTCTGGAATGAAAGGGAAAAATGGGAGCAAAAGAAAAGGCATGTGAAAGCACAGAAAGCGGTAACTGAAGTAATGAAACCAACATATAATTGTTGTAATTCGCTTTTCATTAAAAATGAATAATAACCCCGTTTTTAGAGACCAGCTGTGGCATCAGCTTTTACTTTTATTTTTTAGCATGGAAAGTCAAAGCACAAGTCAATGCAATGTAAGCTGATGCTGCAGCACAGAAGGGTGAAACAATGTGGACAGTCCTGAGTTTATATCGATATCAAATGGCAAGAAACAGTATTTAAATGAGAGCAAAATGAAGCTTTTGGACAGATAGGGCAGAGATGGTTCCAGAAATAACTGAGGAAGGCTATTATTGTTAAAGCAGATTAACCAGGAGTCCTGCGATACACATGTCAGTCTCTCACAACACTGTTCTCTCATCTTTACCCTCGGCGGTTTGGCCTCAATTCACACAGCAATCATGATTTATACCATCAGGTCGACACCTGCAGTGATTTTTGAGTCAAATTCATCTCGTGCGATGAGGTTAAATGCAGGGAGAATCTCCACCGTTACTACTTGTGTGTGCTGAAATGTCCTCAGTAATTGAAAAGAAGAACAAAAAAAACCTTTTCAGTTGCTGCTCAAAAAAATTCTACCAGATATTTTCCAAGCTCAAGACTGACTTTTCTAAGAAATGCACATGAAACAAAAGTCAATCCAATGGCATGCCTAAGATTCCTCAAATGCTCTTTGTCACTTAACACAGATTCAAAATCATGTTCACAACTAAAAGTTACTCTAATCAAAACTTGCATGTGTTCAAATCTATAAAGAGGCATGTAAGCTGGACATCAGCTGGACTAGACTAAAATAAGTATATAAAATGATAAATGTTTTGGTTTTAAAATATTTTAACGCTGCCTTTTTTTTTTTTTATAATATATAGATTGTTTATTGTATTTTATATTTATTTTATATTAGAATTATATGTACATAAATTACAAATGAAGGAAGAGTAGCACAATTTTACAACTGACAAACCGTTTCAGACTTTTTCCCCTATTAAGTAAATAGGATCTGTGCTTTCTGCCTGACCAAGATGAGTATATAATGAATTTATTTCAAAGATTTGTTCATGTCCAAAACACGACTATGCCAACTGATGTGAAGCTCCGGAATTGCAGAGGTGTTTAATTTGTGGTGGAATCCATTCATATAGAAATATAGATAAAGGATCCACAAGCTTTTCTTGCAACTGTAATTTTTGTTTGATTGTTGTTTTTTGGGAACTGCAGAAATTCTGTTGGTGAAGAACTCTAATCCAACTTTTGACAAAATACTGTCTGAAATATCAAATGCTTTTTGGCATATTGTAAGAAGAAAGAGGGATTGTTGAAAAAAATTACAATTCCCATAAAAATATTCACATAAAAAGACCAGATTTTGCCTTGTGAGGATCCATAAAGTGTTTGAGTTAGACAATAGCAGATTATTTTAATATTTCTTTTTTTGTGATTTTCTCCACTTTTACCATTCTGATATGAATCCCGATTACCTATAACAAGCTGTTTGGCTGTATGTGATTGAGCCTGGTATGTGACAATGACTGTGTGATCTCTGATTTCCAGCACCCTACACACCTTCCCTCCATAATGACCCTCGAGGCACAGGGGAACCTGTGTCCAACCTCCGGTCCTGCCACTACAGTCCTGTCTTTTACCTTTTGGACAATGGTAAGAATGTGTCTGGACCCTTAAAAACACCCACACACACCCAGCCCGTGGCTCATGTGCTTCTCCGTGTAAATCTGCGTGTGTGTGGGTGTTTGTTTGGGGCTTGCATGCTGCAGTAGAAGTAGCCTCACGCTCATAGTGCCACGCTCCATGCTGCTGAGGTGTAGGTGTAGGTGTGTGTGAGTGCGTATATGAGTATGTGTAAGTGTGCTTCACGTGTGGCTATTGTAGGCATGTGTGTGATTGAGGCATGGTAGTAGGTAGTATATATTGTGTGTGTTGATGAGAGGATATTGTGAGTGTAGCCCAGATAGAACGCTGATCGTTGAGGTCCAGTGTGGTCAAATGACCCAATTTTTTAACATTTAAATTAAGTCTGTATTAACTTTTACCGTATGTAGTTTACATTGGCTGACTTAACAGGATTATTTTTGATCTTACTGAATTTCAAAATTAAATTCAAATTCAAAATTCTGTAGTTCGATTTAAAAGTGCATGAGTGTGAGTTTGCTCTTTAGAATGAGCAGTACATCAGTCCTCTCTTTTCACCCAGTTGTATTTATTTTTTTAAGTAATTTTTTCAGTCCAAACATAAGCATTAGTGCTTTTGACAGGGCTGGTTTGGGTTTGTGCCGCAGGGTAAACAGGGCTAAAGGCATTAAAACATTAAGGAAATGTTCTATTCAGTACTCCCATAGTGTATACTTGCAAAAAAAAAATATATATATATATATATATATATACACACTACACAAACACGACGATGAAGATAGGTTAGATAGATAAATTATCTTTAATAAATCCACAGAAGGTAAATCGTAGAGAGAAGGGTGAGGTGGCAAGGAGGATAAGGAGATGGCGAAGGGATGGTGAAGGGATGGCAAAGAGCATGCACACCAGAGAGATGCAGGAGGAGGTTCGGGAGGAGGACGACAAACAAAATCCAGAGAGGTGCAGGGGGAGGAGATGACCAGGGAGGAGCCTTGAGCAGGAGAGTGTAGGTGGTGACCCAAGCCACAGCCAGGACTGCGCTCCATGGCGGCGTCACTGGAGGGAGGAACCAAGGCGTGATGGGAACACACACTGCCATGGGGACGAGTGGAGGCAACGACGACGATGGAGGTGGAGCCCATGGCGCAGACAGAGCACAGAGGAGGTGGAGTGATGCCAAGGATCCAGGCGAAGCGACGATCACCTGAGATGTAGGTGGGGATCAAGGGGCCAGAGGGCGAGCTGGAGTGACCAAGGAAGGAGGCGGAGCCTGAGGGAGGGTGGAGCGGGCCGTAGCTGAAGGGGTAGAGGGCCGGAGATCAGCGGACGGCCCGCAAGTCCACAGCGGAGGTGTGGCGAAGTCTAACCCAGGTGGAGCCGACTGACCGAGGGAGCTCAGCGAGGCCGAATGGCCGATGGACCATGCCAGAATCGTGGGAAGGAGGAGCGCAGGAGTCTGGACGGCGGGACGAGGTTGAGCTGAGCCATCCGAGGCTGGAGGCGGAGCCACGGGCTCCTCAGCTCCAGGAGATGACGACTTCCGGCAGGCCCGAGATGGAGCCCCACCACTGAAGGTGACATAGAGGGACTGGCGGGGGACTGACTGATGGGGGACGAAGATGACTGGACTGCAGAAGTGGCTGAGGACTGAGGAGAATGAAGAAATGCACAAAATCCAAACAAAAATAAAAAGTCTCTTAAAGCAGCTTGGAGAGGAGGTGGGAGAGGGAGGCTGGACAGGACCAGCGAATGACAGATGAACAGAAATATCCAGGCTTAGGGGAAGCAAAGTCTCTAACTCTCCAAACTGAAAAACAATGTCCAAGTCCAATAAACACTCACTCTCAGTGGCGGGAGGGTGGGCAGGGCTCGCATCCATACCCACGAGAATTCCCTCTAGCACGTGCGGTGTTGTCGGCTCACACACCTGGTCAGACGCGATAATCGGCTCAGGCTCCAGGGCCATGACAGGCTCAGTCGCTTCTTCTCGCAATGGCTCATTCATCCCGGTGGGCTCTGGCTCTCCGTCTGTGGTGGGTTCAGGCAGACGCTTCGTGCAGCGGAGTGGTGACTGGCTGGGCACTGGGTCTGGAGTTGGGCTGGTGACGTCCTCAACGGTGAAGGCTGATCCACAGGAAACCAGCACTCACTCCACATAGTCGGCAAAGCTCCCTCGTGGACCCTCTCTGGACAACTGCGCTTGTGTGGCTGTGTTCAGTCCGGCATGCAGGAACGTGCACAGGCAGTCGTCCGGGAAGGTGGTCTGATTGGCGAGACCGAGGAATTCTTCAACATGCTCCTCAAGGGAGTGGGTTGCCTACTCAAGGCAGAGCAGGTGGATAGCGGCAAAGTGATCCATAGACAAAAAAACAAACAAACACTGACAAACCGAAAAATAAACTGGGTAAATCACGCCACTTAATTAACTTTATATGTCGGGTCTTCTGTCACACTACTGAGTTGATAAACACACACGAACACGACGATGAAGATAGGCAGTCTTTAATAAATTCACAGAAGGTAAATCCAAACATTGAGTTACTGGAAAAACTGTTAAATTGTTCAAACAGAAAACATTAACAAGAACTTTGTCTCAAAATATATTTGGTGATTGTATTGATTCCTATCTGTTACATAAATCCGTAAAAAAAAATGTAATACTAATAGTAATTACTAATAGTAGTAAATAGTAGTAGTAGTAGTAGTAATAGTAATATTAGTTTAACTTTGCACAGAATCGTGTTGCTGCACAAATCAGCCAAATTTGCACATGCATAGTGAAATACGGATGTTAAAGAAAATAAAATTAAATGCACCTTTAGCCCTGTTGTACCCTACCATTTCAATTTCGCTTGTCAATGACTATGATTAACAATATCAGTTATAAGATGTAGCTTTTTTGCAAGATCTCACTGGCCTCATATTGTACAGAATGACAAACAAAATCTGTAAAAGAAAAAAACTGCACAGTATGCACTATGCTTTAGTTAGACCTATGCTAATAATGTTTTTGTTCACTTTTGAAAATGAGCATGTGTATGGCCTTAAGTTTTGGCTCACTTAAAAAAAAACAACTAGGCCACTACAAAGGTCACCAAATTGGTGATGCTAAGTAGTGACGTATTCTTTTGCCAAACAGAAGTAAATGAATGTATTTTTGATGAAAGGCTTACAAGAGAGATAAATGCTAAAGATTTGACGTTTTATTTCAGCAAAAACAACACTGTGGCTGAAAAATTCTAATGCATGCTTCTGAGAATGAAATTCCTCTGAATTCATTGTAGAGTCTGGCGTCGGGATCTTTACTCCTGAAGTATATCCGCCTCTACGAATTAGCAGAAGATGACGTGAGCTGAAAGCAAAGGAGTCGGTAATTCATGCAAATTGCAGTGCAGGATAGCAGAAGAAATTTTTTGAGATGATTCCAAAAACAATCCCGAATTACCCTTCATCCGAGTCAGGCTCACAGAGGAGTCAATGGGATGGAAGCTCGGAACGTTCTAACGAGCAGCTAAACGACTCCTGAAATCTTGCCCATGGAAAAAAAAATAATACAGGGTGGCCTTTTGAGGTCTGACGTTGAAATCAGTGGATGCCAGCTGTTATGTTTGCCATTGTAGCTGTGCCACTGGATAACAGTAACAAAAGATGTCCAACATGGGTTTATTCAGACAGAGATGGGTCTATAAACACAACACACACACACAGAATATAATTTGCAAAATGGCTTTAACGTGTTGCTCTTATATCAACATATACATAGCCCACACTTCCTGTGGATCTTTCTTTCATGTTTACTCACCTGGACATGTGTCCAGACTGATCTTATCGGTGTAATGGGAAGCATTCCACATCTAAGGCACAGGTTATTGATCCCAGAATTTTAATTACTGCCATTTCCAGGAGCAATTTCCGCTTTGTCTTACGCTTAAATCTCGTCCATCTCCACAAACCTGGAAGAAAAGACAGAAAGAGAATATATACAGTATGTATATATATATATATATATTAATCGTAGACCTTAAGTAGAGCTCATTATATTTAACTATATTTATATATTTAATTTATATCTTGAGGTTTTAAAAAAATACAGTGATTTAAAGGGGTCCTATTATGCTTTTTCACTTTTTCAACTTTAGTTAGTCTGTAATGTTGCTGTTTGAGCATAAAAAAGATCTGCTTTTTTGAAGTCCACTTCAAAAGGAGATATTTTATTTAACAGAAATCACTTTTCAAAGTAAAAGAGCATAATAGGACCCCTTTAAAGAACCGTGAAATCAAAATTGGAATATGTCTGTTCATGTCTGTTAGCAACTCCTAAAAGTTGAAAATGTCAAGCATATATATTTGTATGCAAAAAATATATATATTTGCGAATTCTATTCTGTGGAATGTTTTCAAAGCCTTTTTACTGGAAGAGATTTTTTTTGAAGTGATGATAAAAGTAAACATAAATCCAAAGCAATCAATTTACAGTTAAATTTAAATTCAAGATTTCTTGCTTTGTGAAGAATGACCCACTCCATATTCCTGTTTCATTGGGAAATGGCAATACCAATGGGTCAATGTTTGGTTGGTTAGTATGATCCAGTTAGCAAGGGCTAGTTGATGCCACTAGTGCACCATTTGGTCATGGTCAAATCATCTTCCATTCAAAATGAAAATTTTTGCAAGTAATATAAAGGACTCTTAAATGTGTAAAACGGTGGCCTTGCCCCAGCCAAGATGAATGGGAGTGCTAATGGATAGCTTTCTCCAGATAGACCTCCTCGATAAACATAGGAAAGCAAGTTGCATTCATCAGACCATTTCGTGGTGACACCATTAGCACCATGTTGAAAATGACTTTCTAAAATCACACCCTACTTTAAAAACATTTAATCGAAATGATGCTTAGGAGGAGAGTATTCTGCTCTGTGTGTTTTAGTGTCCTGGAGTACATCATATAAATAGAAACTTTGAGAGACGTTCTTTGGGATAACATGCCTGGTTATTAAATTTTTTTGCTACACAATGGAAACTAATGTTGAATTAGTATTTTGGATCCACTCGTACATATATTTTTTTTAATTTTCTGTTAAATCCCATTTCAGCAGTAATCCTACAATATATTAGACATTCAGTTCAGTATACACTCTAACCTTTGCGGTGCAAAATGCTTGCAAAATGTTGAGCTTACTTTGTTTATCTTTTTACACTTTAATTTGAACCTCTGTGTTTATGTTTACTAATTGTGTATGCATGCACACGTGATTGTTTTCTGTGTGGTTTTTGTGGTTTCTGTTCAATACAATACAATAGATCCAACCTGTTACGTTCTATTGTTAAACATTTTACAGTTATTTTGATTAATTCATGCGTGTTTTTTTCCTTATCAACATGGAAGGAAATGGAAATTAAAAAAATGGATTATGAGTTATACGTTTGTACTTAGATGTGTTCTGCATGCGTGTGTTTGCTTGTCTAAAAACAGACAAATCTGTTCAGCTGGTGGCAGTATGCGATCAGGCATGACTGTCGAATGAAACAATCACATGCATGTGTTACACTAAATGATTTTCTTTCTTTCTTTATTCAATTTTAATTTGAGCTGATCTCTTTAGTTTGCCTTTTGTTTTGTTTTCTTAAATGGATTAATTGCCCTTTCTGTCCTATTTTTGTTTCAGTCAAGGGACCAGGCAGAAAGTTAAGTCTACCCACAGATCTTAAGACTGATCTTGGTACGGTAGGCCGAAAGCGAGCAGATCTTTTTCTTTATTATTGCCTTCGATGCATCAACTCTCTATGTTTCCATCCTGTTGAGAATGACACGGTGAAGCCCCTTGTCTTTGCATTTTAAAGTTCATATTTATTGCATTTTTATTCTTTCACTTTCTTCTCATCTGAATCCATGGCGTGGCACAAAAGTTTCCTCCTCACATCTCTGCGTGTGGCCTTTTAAAATTATTATTATGCTTCTCAATGTACATTTTGCAAGTGTTTACAAAGGTGGTTTGTTCAACATACTCATTCTTAAGTTGAGAAAAGGTATCGCTCTGAAATCTTGCTCTTTCGCGACTGGTTCATCCTTTACGTCTTAAAGGCCTTGCTCCATCGTAATTGGGTCATTCTATACCTCAAAACATGCTCTAACCCTATTGGACCATTCTCTAACTCTATGAAAGCCTGCTCATTTGTGATTGGACCATCTTCTACCTCTGAACAACATGCACTAATGTAATGAGACCATTCTCTGCAAGTGAGCTTGCCTCATCGTGACTTGGTTCATTCTTCAGCCTTTTACGGAAATACTCCGAATTGTCTCACTCTGTCTCTTTTGTTGAGTATCTTTCCTTGTTCTCTTTTCCTTTTTTCTTCCCTCTTGTCTGGCTTTTTGTTTCATGCTAGGCTGTAACTAACACACTTCTCGCTGAGGGCTGAACAATTTCCTCTCCAATTTCTTGTGCCAAACTTGACCTAATGAGTAATAATGAAAGTGTTCCTTCAACAGGTGAAGCTGTGCAGCATTACAAAGGAAAATAGACCATCTGGGCCATGAGTGATTACACTTGTTTCTAATCCTCGAAGGTTTTGATTTGTGCTTGAAAAATATTACAAAGCACTGTAGAGCCTTGGGTCATTTAGTAATATGAAAATATTTTGAAGGTTTAGGCCATAAAAACAGAAAAATTACATTAAAAAATCAGTCATTATTAAAAAGCCGATTTATGAGTGACATTGTGACATATACGGTAAAATACTGGCAGCTGTGGTTGCCAGAACTTCATCGTGAAAAATATGGTAGCAACATTTTACGTTTTACAGACTTAACTTAAATTCACAATAAAATACCGTATTTCATTAACTGATGTAATATTAATAAACCAACATATTGAAGTACTAATATCTGTTTTGAACCATTGTAATGCACTGATAACCACCAAAAACTGGTGGTGATGAGAAAGTCACATGAT